TCCCAGTAACGTCAGCCATGGTGGTACCGATAGACCCCACGGGAGCGGGCATGCGGGAGCTCGCGGGCTCTGGGAAAACTGGGTAGGTCCCACCTGCACCAAAACTTCCCATTCTTTCCGCCTTTCCCTGCCTGCGGTCCTTGCCAGGCAAAGCTCATCCTGCGGGATGAGCCCAGGGTGGTTTGCGCTTAAATGCAGCACAGAATTAGAAAATATTTGGTTTCTTGTGTCCCGTGGCCCGATACGTCCTGCTGTCAGCTTTCCAAAGGCAAAGCGTCAGGCTTTGCTTCGCAAAGAGCAGCCTGAAAAGCTGCCTGTGTGTCTGTGCACATGGACACATCTGTCCAAGAAACCAGAAACGGGGAATTGCCGTGGGCTGCGGCTTCGGGGGCTGCGAGGGGTCCCCGACCCGTCCCTCTCCCTGGGTTCAACGTCCGATGAGCAGGGACGGCAGCGGCCAGCGATGGGCTGACGTTAGCGACTGAGCAATCGCTGGGAACGGCTCTTAGGAGCTTCGCTGGAGCCATTTGACATTCAAGGGTGGGTGTCAGGAGGACGGGGCCAGACTCTTCCCAGTGGTGCCCAGCGACAGGACAAGGGGCAACGGGCACAAACTGAAGCAGAGGAAGCTCCAGCTGAACCCGAGGAAGAACTTCTTCCCTCTGAGGGTGACGGAGCCCTGGCCCAGGCTGCCCAGGGAGGCTGTGGAGTCTCCTTCTCTGGAGATATTCCAGCCCCGCCTGGCCGCGGTGCCTGTGCGGTGCAGCCTCCTGTGGGTGACCCTGCTTGGGCAGGGGCGGGGCTGGGTGACCCACAGAGGGCCCTTCCAACCTCGACCATGCTGGGATCCTGTGATTCTGTGACACCGGAGAGCATAAGCAAACCAGGGGACTGGGTCTGGGGGTGGCGTGTGTGTTTTCCTGCCTCGCAGAGCTGCGTGGTCCCGCGGGGAAAGTTCACCTGGAGGCACCAAGGGAAAAGGGAGGGACCACGGGGCCCCTCCGCCTCCACGGTGCTGGGAGCCCGTGGGCAAGGTCTGAAGCAAAATCTGGGAATTTGGGTCTTGGCTGGAAAAAAAAAAAAATCCCTAATCCTACAGGGAGCAAACTCCGCTGATGGGGAGCGGCAGAAAGCGCTGTCTGGTGACAGAGGGACCTCAGCTGTGGGTGGGGAGGGGGATGATGCCACCCGGGGCAGACACAGGGCTTGTCTCCCTGGGTCCAACTGGGCTCCCTCTGCCCAGTGCTGCTTCCAGACAGGGCAGCCCAGGGGGCCATGGGCACCCAGCCCCACAGGAGCTGCACCCGGGACCCCCCCCCGAGGAGACTCCAGCCTCGGCCAGCGCGGAAG